AACACAAAGTGGCACAATAATTGTGAACTGAAAGGAATATGAGAAATGGTTTTCAAACTTTTTTTTTTTTACAAATCTGTGAAAGGTGTGTTACGCACTTCTATTCACCCCCCAGTAGTCAGTACTTTGTAGGACCCCCTTTCGCTGCAAATCCAGCCACAAGTCTTTTTGGGGATGTCTCTACCAGCTTTGCACATCTAGAGAGGGACATTTCTGCCCATTCTTCTTTGCAGAATCGCTCAAGCTCTGTCAGGTTGGATGGAGAGCGTCTGGGAACAGCAGTTTTCAACTCTTACCACAGATTCTCAATTGGATTTCGGTCTGGACTGTGACTGGGCCATTCTAACACATGAAGATGCTTTGATCTAAACCATTCCATTGTAGCTCTGGCTGGATGTTTCGGGTCGTTGTCCTGCTGGAAGGGGAACCTCCGCCCCGGTCTCAAGTCTTTTGCAGACTCCAACAGGTTTTCTTCTAAGATTGCCCTGTATTTGGCTCCATCCATCTTCCCATCAACTCTGACCAGCTTTCCTGTCCCTGCTGGAAGGTAACTTCATTCTAAATTTTGTTTGTTTTGCTTTCTTTGTATGTATGCATTGGGTGGGTTTTTACCAACACGTGTTGAAATTTCATGTCAATAGCACCTTTAGAAATATATTTACCTAGAAAAATGGTGACGTGTTCAATACTTATTTTACCCACTGTATATATTCAAATAATTTTCATATCGCTGTTTTTTTTTTTCTTTGCATCCTATTTTCAGCAGAAATTCATGCCTATTGTACTTTGAGTGGTTATGCTGCAATTGGGGGTTTCCCTGGAGCTGTGGTTGTCAACTTATGAGCTAAAGGAAGCCTCAAATGCGACCCCTGACCTCACCAAAGGGCTGCACATAGGGTGGGATTTACTAAAACTGGAGCACTCAGAATCTGGTGCAGCTGTACATGGTAGCCAATCAGCTTCTAACTTCAGCTTGTTCAATTAAGCTTTGACCAAAAAAAAAAAAAAAAATTGGTTTCTATGCAGAGCTGCACCAGATTGTGCACTCTCCAGTTTTACTAAATATCCTCCATTATGTTCAATATATGTAATGCTTGAGAGGACTGTCAGAAACTGCAGACCTAAGAGGGAATGAGGGTCAGAGAGTGTGAACAGGATACATTTTTGGTTGGGGGATATGTCACAAAAGGCAATGAAACTGGGAACGTATTACATGAGGCTAGGTGAGATCGATGCTATTACCCTAATCAATGTTCCCACAAACGACTGCTGAAGTCTGAGGGCCATGCATCATATACCACAGGACCACAGCTTGGGCACCAGGGCCCTAGGGTTCAGCCCAGGGGTAGGCAACCTGCGGCTCTCTAGCTGTTGTGGAATTACATTTCCCATGAGGCATTGCAACATTACAAATCTGACAGTTACAGCTATGATTTGCAGAGGCATGATGGAACTTGTAGTCCTGCAACAGCTGGAGAGCCGCAGGTTGCCTACCCCTGGTGTAGCAACTCAAAGGTGCTTGCTTCTGGCTAGGCTCACACATATGTAGCACTAAAGCCTTTGTTTTAAGTCACTCCCAAGCCAGTGATTGACAGCAGCTCTGTTCCAGCTACCCTCGACTAAGAACCATGACTGTTTAAGACACGGACAGTGAATGTCCCTGTGCCTGAGGGTCAGAGAAGCAGACTAAAAAGCATGTGGATACTGCTAAAGCAAATAATTATTTGGCCAAATTGGTGCAGTATTATGATTCCAGTGCAGCTAGAGGGATTTTTTTTGTTTTTTTTAAAGAGTTTAATTTTACTTTAAGCTAACTAATAGTTAAAAGAACCACGGCACCACCTGCCTGGAGTTCGCATGTTCTCCCTGTGCCGGCGTGGGTTTCCTCCGGCTACTCCGGTTTCCTCCCACACTCCAAAGACATGCTGGTAGGTTAATTGGATCCTGTCTAAATTGGCCCCAGTATGTGTATGCAGTGGTGTATTTAGATTTTGTGCTGCCCTAGGCACAATAGTTTGCGCCCCCCCTGAGAAAGCGAGAGTTGAAGAAGTGTGTGTGTGTGTGTATATATATATATATATGTGTGTATATATATATATATATATATATATATGTGTGTGTATATGTGTATATATATATATATATATATATATATATATATATATATATGATTCTCTCTTCTTTCTTCCCTCTTTCTCTCTCTTCTCCCCTCTCTCTCTCCACCCCCCCCCCCCCCCCCTTCCCTCTCTCTCTTCCTCCTTTATGTATGTAAAGCGCTGCGTAAATTGACGGCGCTATAGAAGTACCTGAAATAAATAAATGGCCGTCCCTTTAGTAAATCCTGGTACACACGATGAGATATTGGACAAATGATCCTGCATTTCTTCTTCTTTGCATGCTAGTCTCATCGAAAATGAAGAGGAGGTTAACCACCCCAATACTGAGCACTTTCACCCTCTTGCAGCTTTCAGAACTGTCACACTTTGATAATTACTCAGTCATGCAACATGGTACCCATATGAAATGGGTTTTTTTGTTTTTTTTTTGAGAGAGCTTTCTTTTGGTAGTGTTTATTCATCATTGGGTTTTTTACTCTTTTGCAGATATAAACGGAAGCTCAGCGGGTATAGCCGACAGAGACACATGTCTCTGTATACACTGAATGATGGCTGTGATTGGACACAGCCATCACGTGTTTGGGAGGGCCAATCACAGCACCCATGTCCCATTCTATGATGTGCCGAGGGACACAGCCATCGCAGGATTGCCCCACTGCACGGCGCACATTCTGAAAGGACGTTCAGGAACATCCTCCCAGAATGGGAAAGCTCCCACTGGCTGTTTATGTGCAGTTACCGGGTGGGAAGCAGTTAAAGTTATGAAAATTCTCGTACGACAGAATACAACTTTGGAAGTGATATCATGTGTTGTATTCTTTCTGATTTTTTTTTTGGGACTAATACTGTACTGATTAAATGAAAATCATACAAAACAAAAAAGTTTACCCCTTTGAATAATTTCGGATGAAAGCAGTGTACTAACAATCAGATTATACAATCACTTCGAAAACGGTATTTTTCGTCGGATTTTCTGATGGTGTGTGCTAAGCTTCAGGCTCTATTCACATCTGAGCGTAGCGTTTTTGTGCATTTTGTTGTATTTTTATGCATGTTTGCAATTTGTTCAGGCGTTTTCAGGCTTTTTTAATTAGCCAATTACGAAAAATTTCATTTGTGACATCAATTGGTGCCATGTTTTGCCATGAAAGAAAAACGCTCTTGGTCACGCGTCAAACGCGCAAAAGTGCATGAAAATGTGTTATTTCTATGGGATCAGGAATGCACCAAAAATGCATGAATCTGCCTGAACGGAGCTAACAAGTAGCTCCAAACTTTTTTGAGCTTCAGGCAACTTGGAGCGGAGATGTGAACCATTTCCATAGTCATATTGATTTTTTTTTCTCCCTGAGTGTTTTGGAGCTTCGTGCTACAAAACGCTCAGGCATGAATGGGCCTAAGACCCTGTGGAGCGATCCCAGGTGAATTCCAGAAAAAAAAAGGCATTTGATACTGGCATTCTGCTACTTCAAACATCCACCTCACAAATGTGTCCAGTTTTCAGGGCTGTATGATTATATAAACATGTACTATCTCCATTCAAAAGACAAATGCAGACACAGTGCTTTCAGTGCAGTCGGATGCACTCTCCCCAAAGACAGCATGTCAGTAAAGTAGAGGTAAAAGGGCCAGTGGGTAGGAAACGTTCTTTAATGTAAACAGCCTAAAAAGTCCAGGCATCAAAAGAAGTACAGAACCCCAAAAATTTTAACCAAAAATTAAAAAAAAAAAAACTAAAAACAAGATCAAAGATTTTAAAAATATATTCACAACTGGAATAAATTAACATTGCCACTGGTGCAAGCAGCATTCAATTTCAGAAATTATGATCATTGCTTCAAAACTGTACAAATCTGTTCCCTGCAGCATACAGAAATATGCTTTTAATCTCTAGAATTCTTCCCTTGTGTCCTTCACTGGAAATGCTGCAGAGAAATTTCCACTTTCCCTGCATTTTAGCCACTGGGTGGAATTCTGATCCCAATGTATGAATTGTGGGGGATCAGGGTAGCCCACTGATGCAAGCTCTAGGCTGGCTGTTAGGAGTTATGCACCTATCAAAATTCTAGGTATAAGTCAGTCTAAAGGAGTGGGTATTCCTAGGCAGGCTGCTTTTGCATGCAAACCACTCTAGGTAATGCCCACCTATAATGCTTAGCCTCCATGATTGAAGAACTGCAATCCAGTGAGTGAAGGGGGTGGGCCAGGGACAGTCAGAGGGGAAATGCTAGATGATGGACGTCATCCAGCCAGGAAATGAGGTGTGCTGTATCTGACTTGCTGCAGCATCTAATGCACATGTTAAGATGCTCACAGTGTGCAGTGAAATCAGAATAAGCAATTTCAGTACAAGATAGGAGCCTGTACAGCTGTGCAAAACTGAAGAGAAAGCTGGAATTCAGCTTTAAAGGGGAAATCTTCCAATGGGGATACCTGTTCTGGTAACAACTAAAAGCGGAAATTGTAAACATTTTCCTTCAATTCCATTAGCAACTGGAATTAAAGTAAAACCTCTCCAAAAGGGAACACAGAATAAAAATAAACTGACTAGAGTAAAACCCTTCTTTACTCCATTTTAAAATATTAAAAAAAAAAAACTTTTGTCTATACATAAGCTTTACATTATTCCAACTGTGAAACATTTTAAACTCTGCTGATCTTCATCTATAACTGTTTTTTTCCTGTAACATTCAGATCATCATTTTATTCTAAGAATTTTTTTTTTCTATTAACAAATTAAGTTCTTTTCTTAAATAGTTTAAAAACAATCACGTTATTTACACGTTTTTAGTACATTGATCAGTCCAGGCATCCCGGACCAGTCTTTGTGAAGGCATTCGTCTCTCTCCCTCTCTGTCGCTTTGGTAAAGATTTCAGTGGAATTTAGTCGAAGAATCGACACTGCATGTAGGTCTCGTCTGAGGAGCTGTAGCCAAACTTTTCATAAAAGGCAACGTTTTTAGGCTTGCACTCCAGTGTAACTTTGTAACAGTCAAGCTTTTTGCTTAGCAATGTAAGAACAGATACTAACCTGCAGGGAAAGACAAGGAATCGAGTATTAATGAAACAAGAAGGTTATTTTATGAGAGAATCTGTTACAGCTGAACATATGCAATAATCTGTATGTTTGAAACTCGTTCACACTAACGTGCACAGGAAAACAATATATTTTCATGTACAGGCAGTAAAATACAGACACCAGCCTTCACTTTACCCACTTCTTAGTGACAGCGCTGGGCTAGTTATCAAGCACCAGTGCTGTCACACAAGAGAGGGGAATCACGTGCTCTATATCCAGAAATAGAAGTATTTTCTTTATGCCAGGTGAGTATTTACTGCTGGAGAGGAGGATATGAAAGTGAAAAAAGAAACTTTGTTGATGGGGGTGAGATTTTGGCATAAACTGCAATTATACCTTAAAGCGGAGTTCCACTCACTGTAAAAAAAATAAGTCAGCAGCTACAAAAACTGTAGCTGCTGACTTTAAAAAACAAAAAAAAAAAAAAACCAGCCACTTGCCTGTCCCTCAATCCCACAGTGTCCTCCCCGCAGCCCATTTCACCAGCCGTCTGGTGTTCCAGACGCTAGCAACTTCAGTGTGGGCACCCGGCTGTGGCAGCTTGCGGCTTCACAGCTGAGTGCCCACTGAGCATGCACGAGTAGTGCTGCGCTTCCTCAATGGCCCCGTAGCCTTCTGGGACCTGTCACGTGTGCCAGAAGACTACGGGGAGTGAGGGTAGGAGGACAACTTCCGCTTCCAATCGCCTAGGTGATCGCAGCGGAAGTGGGGGCGGGTACCTGTTAATTTTGGGTACCCGCTCTCCCCAGGTGTCAATATTTAATGGAGAGTGGGGGACTAGTCTTTAAAGCGTAACTTCCCCTTTTGGGTGGAGCTCTGCTTTAATAAAAAATATTATTATTATACAGTATTTATATAGTGCCAAAGGGTATGCTCAGCGCTGTACAGTAGCAAGGGGGACATAACATGAGACAAGACAGTAACAATACAATACACGAGGGGTTCGAGGGCCCTGCTCTTTTGAGCTTACACTCTAGGACTGGGTTTTTTTATGCATAATGCTGGTATTATTTTGTTCATTTTCTTTTTTTTTTTTTTCCTTTTTTTATCTGTTCATAACTTTTTTTTAACCACTTGCCTACCAGGCACTTATACCCCCTTCCTTACCAGGCCAATTTTCAGCTTTCAGCGCTTTGACAATTGCGCGGTCATGCAACATTGTACCCATATGAAATTTTGATCATTTTTTTCTCACAAATAGAGCTTTCTTTTGGTGGTATTTAATCGCCACTGGGCGCTTTACTTTTTGCGCTATAAATTAAGAAAAGTGCAAAAAATTTGAAAAAAAAAAAAAAAGTTTGTTTCTTTTATAAAATTTTTCAAACAGGTATTTTTTCTCCTTCACTGATTTGCGTTGATGAGGCAGCACTGATGGGCACTGATAGGCAGCACTAAAGGGCACTGATAGGCAGTACTAATGAGGTGGCACGGATAGGCGGCACTGATAGACAGCACTAATTAGGGGTCACGGATAGGCGGCACTGATGATGGGTACTGATAGACGGCACTGACTGGCGGCACTGACTGGCACAACCCCTGGGCACTGACTGACGGCACTGGTGGGCGGCACTGGTGGGCGGGCACTGGTGGGTGGCACTGGTGGGCACAGGTGGGTGGCACTTCTGGGCACAGGTAGGTGGCACTGCAGAGTGGCACAGGTGGGGGCACTGCTGGGCACGGGTGGGCGGGGCTAGTGGGCGCACTGCTGGGCACCGATCATCAGGGCACTGATCATTAGTGCCCTGATGATCGGTGCCGATCCCCGCTCTGACAACTGCCGGTTCTCGGCAGTACTTTCCTCACGATCTGACAGCGTGAGGAAAGTGCAGCCGAGAACCGGCACTTGCATTTCCCTGTGATCAGCGTGTCATTGGACACCGCTGATCACGTGGTAAAAGGCCGGTGGGATCGGCCTTTCACCACATCACGTGATCAGCTGTGTCCGTAGGACACAGCGATCACGGAGATCGCCGGGTGCGCGCCCCAGGACAGCGCGTTCTGGGAGGACGTCATATGACGTCCACTCAGAACTGGCCGGCCGCGGTGAAGCCGTCATTCGGCTATGCGCGGTCAGCAAGAGGTTAATATACTTATGGTATGATTTTTATTTTGTGTACTATATTACTTTCAGTATTTATGGTAAATTTTGTTGTGCATCTATCACCATGTTCATATTTTAGGGTAAAAAGAAAATATACCAGAATAAACATACAAATTGTGTGGCAAGATAGCGATGGACTGTTACTTACAATTTTCCGAGCTGTTTGCCTCGACATTCATCGCTCACAACCACCTCTTCTATCCGACCTCTCTGCAGGAAAGAAAATGAGGACGGAAAGGTACGGAAAAAATATAAAACACAAGGCTTATGTTATATCTTTGGTGGTGGCAAGAAGTATTCATTATTTAGAAAATAATGTCTAATAATTAAAAGCTACAATCAACACACCATAATTATTTAGACAGTACAATGACCTTAAAGTAGAACTACACACAAAAAGAGAAATCCTGCTGTTTCACCCTCTCCCCCAAGTCTGCAACTGAGTTAGTTTTTTTGGGGAGAGGTGGAGAACAAGTGCAGATTTTTATTGATACCTACTCTCACGTCTAAAATCCTCACCTAGATGAGGATGATATCCCTGGCCCCACGCCATCCTCTTGGGACACGTGACACATCCCAGGCTGCAGGACCATTCACAATGCGCCATGCAATGTCGTACATGCAAAGTGGGCGGCCGGCTGTTTTTCTTTAGGAAGCCACAGCCAGCTCCCGTATCCAAGATGGTGGTGCTGGGGACCCACAATGGTAAGAAGAAATGGCTGTGGGAAGACAGCACTGGATCCCAGGCACTGGTAAGTACCTGATTTTTAAATGTCAGCAGTATTTGTAGCTGCTGACTTTCAAAAAGAAAACAAAAACTGAAGTTTCTCTTTAAAAAGGTAATGGGATGTCAAACATGTAAAATGTCTGTAATAAAAGTATTGCCATATCCCTCCTCATGCCAGTGTCTGCTGATAGCCACTGTCCATCCCTGAATGTCATTTGTCCAAGATCTTCTGATCGTGATCAATGTCAAGGGATATGTAATTACTCTTAATTTGAGAAAAATATAACTTTTTGTTCACTTTCCTTTCAGGATACTGTACTGCATGAATTTTACAATAGAGGTATTTTAATTTTATGCCTACAATTTTGCTAAACTGCTAAACCAAAAAGTGAAAGTCTAAGATAATTTTAATTCATAAATTTATCATATAAATACAGCCAAAGTGTTTCAGGGGCCATAACACTCCCCCTACACCGGGCTTAAAAATGTAAAATGATTTGAATGTAAAAGGAAAGTATAAATAGATCTATTTTGTATCTGTAACTCTCCTTTCTGACTGCAAAGGTGTAACCGTCATTGGAGACATTTTAAGTCATATTCCATTTTTTAGGAAGATGCCCACAAAACACGTTGGCTGCTTTTATATGATCAACTTACAAAAAATTGAAAGCATCTTGGTTCGGTTTGGTGCCTGTTTCTGTGTATAGCCACACTTTAGGTGGCTGAAAATCTGAGCAGGTAAACTGTGGTCTCTTCATGCATTTTAAGGATTGGCATTCATTTTTGACTGGCCTGAATGTTTAAAACAGAGCTAGGATATAAAGCCACATAGAAAAGGCGCTCCACAGAGCTCTTCAAGCAATAGAAAGGGCTTTTCCAGAAAACTGACCACATACCTTTGAACATGCATGTATAAATTTATGTTCTACAATTAAAGTTGCCGTAGCTACGATCTGTCCGAGATTCAAATCCTCCACCACGATCACAAAGTAGTCCCCCGTCTTCTTCATGTGCTCAAATTTTTCTAGCAAGGAAAAAAGACAATAGGTTTGTTTTAATGTGGTTTCTCTATGACAATCTGGATTACCACCAAGGGAAGGGAATTGAATCTAGGGTGTATTTGGGATATTAAAGTAACAATTATCCCAAAGGACTTCTGATTTAACTCTATGTACCCATTGCCATAAAATGACAACCAAAGCAGATTACCACCCAATCTATTTTTAGATTGCACATGGCAAAAACGAACCGACTGATCGATTTGGAATAGGTGAGAGGAACAGTGGTGCACAGTCACTGTAAAGATTACTATGCAGGTTAAATCGGGCGAAAATCGTGGAAATACCACATCGTGTTTTAGGCGCCATTGAAAATAGTGGCACCTGAACCTGCTTTTTACAATTGTAGCGCATTTTGAGATTGGGGGAAGAATTGCAGTGATTCTGCCACAATCCCAAATGCCCAGGTGTGAATGGAGCCTCATCGAGCAGACACCAGAACTCGATTTGGCTGCTCAGAGTGGGCTTGTACTGAGCACCCAAGTGCTTCCATGTGTGAGGGTAACCTGAAGGAATAAACTTTTTTCTTTTGTTTTGGTGCCATTTAAAAAATAAGTTTAAAAAAAAAAAAAAAAAAAGCACCACAGATTGTAATATTTTACTTTAATCTGGAGACCCCAGAGATCCCTTTTTCACCTCTAGATGGTCTCAGTCTTTGGTTTGTATGACACCAAGTCACTCAAACCGGAAGAATGAGGACTCTACTGTGATTGAAGGGTGTCATGGCTCCTAACACATCACCATGGCAACATTCATGGACCCTTCTGCCTGGAGAAGAGTTGAAGATGACCCTGCAGTGGTGTGTTACTGACCTGAAGACTTTGCAAAAAGTATTAAAAGGGGGAGTAAGAGTGAATTTGGGAGCAAGAGCCCAGAGTTAAAGTGGAGTTCCACCTGAAAAAAAAAAAAAACTCAGCAGCTACAAAAACTGCCGCTGCTGACTTTGAAAATACAGACACTTACCTGTCCCTCGGTCCAGCGGTGTCCTCACCACGCTGATTTCACCAGCCGTCTTCTCTCTCTGGCACCGGAATCTTCAGCGTGGGCACCCGGCTGTGACAGCTTGCGGCTTCACAGCCAGGTGCCCACTGCGCACTGCGCAGGCGCAAGAAACACTGCGCTTTGCGGTTGGCCCCTGTAGTCTTCTGGGACCTGTCACATGTCCCTGAAGACTACGGGGGGATATAGGGGAGGACAACTTCCTCTTCCGATCGCCTAGGTGATTGCAGCGGAAGTGGGAGCGGGTACATGTCAAATTCAGGTACCCAATCCCCAAAGGTGCCAATCCTTAATGGGGAGCGGGGGACAAAGGCTTAAAGCGCAACTTCCCAGTTTGGGTGGAGCTCCGCTTTTAAGCTGATAATGTTAACATATAAAAAAAAATATATTTTATAAAAACTATTTTAATAAGTTTCAGATAAAGTAAAGCTACACCAGGTTATAGGCACCTTTTTCAGCAACCTGAATTGAGAAATAAAATACATTTTCACAACATTTGCACCGCTGCTGCATTAGGCAGATCATTCACTTTGCACTAACCAGTGCAACCAAAAAACAAACAGAAAATCCTTTTTTTCTTATTTATTATAGCATTCTGTTCTTTGCCTGGAGTTTAGTTTTAATTAACTGAATAGATGTGCATGGCTTGTACTTCAGCTGCTGATATCAACAACAATCTCAGTTGTCACAGGATTGTACTTACTGATGAAATCCTCCGCAGACACATCTCCTACTTTTGTCAGTTGTCCCAGTACCTTGTAAAATCCTGAAATAAAAGAAAATGTGTAACTTCGTAAGTGGGCTTTGCTCATTATCACCCGTACTATCTTGCCAAATAAAACAATAAATGGAATTCCATATATGAATATAGAACCTAGGGATACATTTTCAATAGGACTTATTAGGCCTCTTGCACACCAAATCCTAAAATTGCTACGGTTTTGGGCATTTTTTTAGACTGAATGACTGTTTGAAGTACAAATAAAGTATCAGGGAGAGTGCTCAATTGTTTTTGTAGCACTGACCTGACTGCACATAAATAAGCAAAAAGGGACCTTAAATAAACTGGTGAGTGTGGAACTCGGGGATGAAAGGAAAGTGGTCTGTGCTTCTGTAGTGTGGGCGCTGGGCATGACAGCCGGGTGCCACGTGCGCATGTGCAAGAAGCGGTGCCGTTTGTGAATGGTAAGGCGGTACCTGGGACACATGACAGATCCCAGAAGCCGCCAGACCAATCACAAAGTGCAAGTGCTTCTTGCTCATGCGCACTGGGCACCCGGCTGTCATGCCGAGCGCCGACACTACAGAAGCCGGGAAGACAGCGCACAGCTGGATAGAGGAACAGGTAAGGTCAAAGAACAACTCTGCGGAAGTAAGAGCGGGTACCTGTCAAATTCAGGTACCCGCTCCCCCCCCCCTCCCCAAAGGTCAGCAGTCATCCCTGTACTGTTCGCAGTCTCTGGTCATCTCCTGTACTATGTCTGCAGTCCATTAGTTCAGAATTTTTTTTTTCCTGTTTTCTGCCTCTAAAACCTAGGTGCGTCTTATGGAGCGAAAAATACGGTAGTTCATTTTGGCCAAAACAAACTATTTAACACCTTACCGCCCGGTCTATAGCCAATTGATGGCCGGGCGGCACACTCGCCGTTTGACTGTGTGTCATATGACGTCCTTTCAAAACTAGCTGCTCACATGGCTGCATGATCTGTCACCGGCTGTGTCAACGGGACACAGCCAATGACATATCACTACACCGGCCCGTTGCCAGTGTCATGTGACCAATCACAGCAGATCACATGTCATGCCATTCATTGTATACAATTATGTTGTTCGCCGTGACTGGTCAAGGCAGTCACATGATACAGACACGGCCAATCACAGCCCATCTGTATCATGTGATCAGCTTTGCCCAATCACAGCTAATTACAACAAAAGACTGAATGAATCAGTTTCATTCAGTAACAATGATTGCAAATATCAACGAAATACATCGGTATTAGCAATCATAATGCGTTTAAAAAAAAAATCCTGATCACTTGCCCAGAGTAGTTCAATGTTACTATGGTAACATTGTATTGCTTTGCTCACAGTGTGCTGAAAAATAAAATAGTAAAAATAGAAACATTTAAAAAAAAATACAAAAATCAATTATTATTTTCACCAAAGAAGTGTAAAATACATTTTGACCTAAATTTATGAAGAAATGTTATTTATTTGAAAACCTTTATAACAGAAACCAAGAAAAGTATGTTATTTTTCAAAAGTTTCAGGTGCATTTTGTTTTATTTAGCAAAAAATAAACTCAGTGGTGATTAAATACCACCAAAAGAAAGCTCTATTTGTGAGAAAAAAAACGATAAAAATTTCATGAGTACAGCGTTGCATGACCGCACAATTGTCATTCAAAGTGCGACAGCTGAAAATTGGTCTGGGCAGGAAGGGGGTGACAATGCCTGGTATTGAAGTGGTTAAAGTCACTGCAAACCTGGAGACAGGCTTTAACTGTTTCTGCATCACTGAGAGATTGTTTCTGAGGGTTACAGCACCTTGTGCCTCATGGTTCTATTTGTCTGCAAGATTTAGCTTTCCAGCCTGCTGTAGAAGGAGGGCTGGAATTTGGTTGTTATGGACAATGCTTGTTCCTTTTTCTCCAGATGCTCACTGACCTCGGTTTAAATCAGCAGTACATAGCGGCCTCAGGACCAGCAGCTCTCCAGGGTTCCGCGGCGAGATAGGAGGGTTGAAGGACACCGTATTCTGACTCCAGTCAATCTCCTCCAGTAAATGAGGGTCAAATAGGGGGGTTTCATCTGGGATCATGGCAACTGAGCAGAGCTCCTGAAATAAAAATGACAGTTGAGATGAAGAGCTGCCTTCCCACGCAAACATACAGTGTTTATCTTCTGATAAGCGGTTACATACAACATGACTTTTGCTCTACTATGTAATCTGTACTATAAAAGAAACTTTCTGCATTCCTACACAACAACAACCAGATATGAAGGAAAAACTTAAAGCAGAATATGACTTAAAATGGGTAGCAGAGTGGATAAATGGTTAGCACTTCCACCTGGCAGTACTCGGGTCACTGATTTGAATCCAGACCATGGCACCACCTGCCTGAAGTTTGCATGTTCTCCCTGTGCCTGCGTGGGTTTCCTCCGGGTTCTCCAGTTTCCTTCCACACTCCAAAGACAAGCTGGTAGGTGAATTGGATCCTGTCTAAATTGTCCCTAGTATGTGTATGTATGAATGTGAGTTAGGGACCTTAGATTGTACGCCCCTTGAGGGTTAGGGACCTTAGATTGTACCCCCCTTGAGGGTTAGGGACCTTAGATTGTACCCCCCTTGAGGGTTAGGGACCTTAGATTGTACCCCCCTTGAGGGTTAGGGACCTTAGATTGTACCCCCCTTGAGGGTTAGGGACCTTAGATTGTACGCCCCTTGAGGGTTAGGGACTGATGTGAATGTACAATATATATGTAAAGCGCGCAGTAAATTGACGGCACTATATAAGTACCTGAAATAAATAAAAATGTAAAGTTCTTGAAATCAAAGTACAGTCTATCGCTGCTTTGAAGAGCAATGGCCATACACATTAGCAGGAGTGGGTTACAGCAGGCATTATAAAGTGTGAACACCAGCGGTCTGTCATAATTCCCCTCCTCTGCACACCTAGAGACTTTGAACCTTCAAGTGTTCAAAATGTAATAAAGCCTTAGGTTCTGGCTTGGGCCTCGGCTGTCGGTATATTTTGGTGCAGTAAGGCTGGTCTTTGGCGCAGGATGTCCCAATGGATAGTATGCAAAGGGTTACGTTTATGTAAACACATTAGGAGATATTTACTAAAACTTCAAAGTGTTAAATCTGGTGCAGCTCTGCAAAGAAACCAATCGGCTTCCAGGTTTTATTGTCAAAGCCTAATTGAACAAGATGAAGTTAGAAGCTGATTGGCTACCATACACAGCTGCACCAGATTTTGCACTCACAAGTTTTAGTAAATAACCCTGACAGTATCACTTTGGCCATTCAGAGCAGAGTGATAGTCTCTTGACAGGACACCCCGCCATTACCCACAGATACTTACCTTCCTTGCGCTCACCTGCCGCTGCATGCGTCTGTTGGATCCTTGAATCTAATCCCTGTGTAAGCTCCATGTTGATCTGTGTCAGAGCTTACACAGGGTAATGACCTTCTCTCTCCTCCCATAGGACTTTGAGGCTGGCTATTGGCTGCTTATGGCTGAGCACTGCATCCTGGGAGTAAAGGGGGGTGGGGGAAGAGGTGAAATTCTCCCCCATACCCAAGTGTACTGAGTATTTCCCAGGGAGGGCTGAGGCATAGGAACAGAGCTGTGAGGGAGCATGGCTACTTCATTATGGGACTAAGGGCTCATGTACACTGCAGCTGATAAACTGACGTTTAGGAGCTGTTCAGCGTTTTTTTCAGCATCTCCTGAACTCTCCCTAATGTTTTCCTATTTTTATCATGTAAACATCGTCGTTTACAGGTATTTGAGTTTACAGTTGTTTTTTTGAACACAGAAAACTTGCATTTAGCAGTCGATTTTATCAGTATTTCAAACGCAAAACGCTTGTAAACGCGGCAAATCGCGTTTATAAGCGTTTGACTCTGAACATTTTTTTTTAACTCTTCCAGTTCCTGATGCTGTCCACAGCCTTTTTTCATCATGAAAAATGCATGCAAAGCGTTTTCAAGGTACTCAAATGGACAAAACACTGAACACAGGATGTTCCTACCAAGCTGGTCAATTCACACCTCAGACCTCTCCCACCCTTGGAAACAAAAGATATGTTATTAACAATTCCCACCTCAAATTCCTCATGCAGACCCCCTGCCAGGTGGCCTAATGACTCCCCCCACCAGACACCTTTCCCACCCTTGGAAACAAAAGAAATGTTAATGAGCAACTCATACCTAAGCTAATCTCAACACATACTGCTGTCTCTGCTTCTACTCTCTGTATTTCTCTGAAACAGTCTGAAATAGTTAATAATTTACCACTTTTCAGTGCATTCTGGGCATCTGGGAGGTTCTCCTGTGCTTATCTTTAAAAACCGCTTCTAAACGCAAACACGGCTAAACAGACTTTTTTTAACCTACGTTTTTCAGCAGTCAGTTTCCATCGTTCAGAAGTGTCCCGTGTACATGGGGCCTAAGGGCTCGTTCACACTTGGCTGTTTTACCAACGCTTGCCAAACGCCCCTATAGCGTTTGGCAAGCGTTGGTCCGGCGTTTGCGGAGCGTTTTTTAACACTCGGCAAACGCCGCATGAGCGGTTTAGCGGCAGTTGCTAGGCGTTTGCCGAGCGTTAATAACGCCCCACAAACGCCTATAATGCAGTTTGAGTGGTGTTACCGCTCTGCAAATGCCCCGCAACCGCACCGCAAATGCCGGCCGGGCATTTGCGGAGCGGCACCATAGACGAGAATAGGAAGCTTCAAAGCCTCCTGACTTGACCAGAGGCGTCCGTTTTGCCGCGACGTAAACGCTCCCGTTAGAACAGCACCATGTGCTGTAATGTGCAGAATTGGCAGAGGTGTTTGGGAAGCGGTAAAAACGCTTCCCAAACGCCTCTCTGCCGCCTGCACACAATGCTAGTGTGAACGTAGCCTAAGTGGTCAAAAAATAAAAGGAACAATGGGGGACAGACATAGAAGTGCTGGATAGCAGGGGGCTGCTAGCCCTGCAAGAGAGCAAAGAATAGACACCACCTACTGGAGAGACTCTGATTCCTGCTGTGCAGGGAGGGACTGCGGGAAGATGACGTAACATTATACTACCACTGTTTTAAAATGCAGCGTTTTTGGTTTTTCATATTAATGACCTCATCACTAGACTAAATGGTGTATTTCTTTTTATATGCCCCAGAGATCCTCAGTACCATCTACTGTGCTTATTCATCTCACAGTCTGTGCCCAGGGCGGATCCCCGATTAATCACTTTGTAATGTGTTCCATATAACTACGCAATGTCCCGACTCTTCACCCGTTTCCTATGTGACATTCCGAAGAACACGTCTTACCGGATTCTAAAACATTTTTCTGTGGCTGACAAACATTGTCTGTGTTTCTGAGTCTCAACATGTTTTTTCTTTGTCTGGCAAGAATGACAGTAACCAGGATTGTGACAAACCATCTACCTCTGCTGCAGAGTATTATAGTTGTCACCTTTTATTCATATGCATTAAAGTGGCTTTGAAGGCTGAAGTATTTTTTTTTTTTTACCTCAATGCATTCTCTTCATGCGCAGCTCCCACCATTATACTTACTCGAGCCTGATCTCGCCTCAGCGATTTGCATGAAACCAGCGGCTCTCTCACTTCTCATTGGCTCAGAGACAGCAGTGAGAGCCATTGGCAATCACAGCTAGTGAGGTGGGTGTGGGGGCAGGGCTGAGCTGCGCTGTGTGTGTCAATGGCCACAGAGTCGGCTCAGGAGAGAGCCTGCACAAGTGACCCCACAGCAAACAGCTTGCTATGGTAGGCATTTGGCAGGAGGGGAGGAGCCAGAAGCACTGATGGGGGCCCTAGAAGAAAAAAAGCAGTGCATAGAGCAGGTAAGTATATCATGTTTGTTATATAAAAAAAAAAAAAAAAAAATTGTTTACAATCTTTTTAACCGCGTGCCCTCCTGAGGATTTACCCCCCTTCCTGACCAGGCTATTTTTTGTGTTACAGCGCTGAATTATTTTAACTGACAATTGCACGGTCATGCAATGCTGCATCCAAATGTACTTTACGTCTTTTTTTCCCATGAACTGAGCTTTCAGTGGGATTTGATCACCTCTGCATTTTTTATTTTTTGCGCTATAAAAAAAAAAAAAAGACCCGACAATTTTGAGAAAAAAAAAAATATTTTTGACTTTTTCCTATTAAACATGTCCAGTAAAAAAATTTAAAAAATCAAATTTCGTCAAATTTAGGCCAAAATGTATTCTGTTCCATGTCTTTGCTAAAACAAAATCCCAATACGTGTAAATTAATTGGTTTAAGTGAATGTTATAGCGTTTACAAAATGGCGGTATAGATACTGGGATTTTTTTTTTTTTTACTAGTAATGGCGGTGATCAGTGACTTATAGCAGGACTGCGGCAGACATTCTGACACTGGGTGGAACTGACTTGGTGTCACTAACATCCTCCACTGACACCAATATAGTGATCAGTGCTAGAAAAAAAAAAAACACTGACACTGTACTAATGGCACCGGGCAGGAAGTAGTTAACATGAGGGGTGATCAAAGAGTTAACTGTGTGCAGGGAGTGTTTTACTAGGGGGTGGTGTCAGTGTTCTTCACTGTCCAGCACCCGGTGATTGGCAGTCGCGAATGGCGGCACAGGTAGGGTGCGCGCCCCCTACCCGGAAATGCGAAATCACATATAGGTAGGAGTTTTGTGACAGAAGAAAAGACCCTTTTGGTCTCTTCTGTAATAACAGCTTCTATCTGCCTGTCAGCGTAAATGTACAGATGTACAAAGATACACTAATATACCTTTTTTGGTTCCACTCTGTGCCATGATGATGTGACTCGTGTGCACATGCTCGGGAGTGACGTCACTGCAGCCCAGCCACCTAATCAGTAAAAGAGTCCCAACCCAGAGGGAAGACCCGGAGAAGATGGAAGCACCCCTGACAGCTGAGAACGGTGACACCGCAGCACTGGAGAGGGTTATTATGCAGTATTACGGCTCATGTACACTGCAGCTGATAAACGGACGTTCAGAAGCTTTTCTGCGTTTTTTTCAGCAGCCCCTGAACTCTCCCCAATGTTTTCCTATGTGTCCGTGTACACATCGTCCTTTACAGGCAGTTGAGTTTACAGTTTTTTTTTAACGAACCAAACGTTCAGGAGTAGATTTTACCGGCGTTTCAAATACCAAACACTTGTAAACACAGTTAATTGTGTTTAGAAGCATTTTTTAACTGTTCCATGTCCAGATGCTGTCCAGAGCCTTTTTTCATCATCAGAAATGCATGCAAAGCATTTTCCATGTATTCAAATGGACCCGATACACCAGCGCAGTCAGCTCCAGGTATCGCGTGAAGGAAAAAATGGTAGAACGTGCCGCATTATGCTCATGATGGGATCCATAGTGAATTCAACCAGAAAAGACAGGTCATCTCAACACATACTGCTCTCTCTGCTTCTGCTCTCTCTATTTCTCTCAAAATGTCTGAAATAGTTAATTATTTACTGTTTTTCAGTGCATTCTGGACATTTTGGAAGGTCTCCTGAGGTTATCTTTAAAAAACGCTTCTAAACGTAAATGTGCATAAACGCGGTACTCAAATGTAGCTAAACAGACGTTTTTTAACCTACGCTTTCCAGCAGTCAGAAGTGTCCCGTGTACATGGGGCCCTACAGGGCACTCAGCCCGCTGTGTTCTATTCACACCCTGCACTATGCGCCTTTTTTTTTTTTTCATAGTTACATTTTAAGGAAACTGTTACAACGATTAAAAAGTGTAACGAGCAGCTAGTTGAATCTACGGAGTTGTTAATAACCCTTTCCTGGGCCTGCAAGTATATCGGAAACTGATACAATCTATATATACACTGCAGGTCTATTTATACACAAAGCTCTGTAATAGGATCAGGAGGCATGGAAGTCAATATTCACACGTCCGCTTTCCTTCTGTGTGTTTACCGAAGATTTGTAAAGCCGTCACTCCCTTGTTACAAACAGGATTCAACCCTGGAAGAGTGACTTGTCACCACCTCCACCTCACTCTTTGTATGAAATACACAACATGCCACATGTGCAAAGACACGCCGCGATCTGCAACGGCTAGAAAACGCAATGCAACCGCTTAAAATAGAACTAAAGGCTGACAATTGTTTAGATTTGGACAGAATGAAGGGGGAGAAGAACCGTGGTCAGGTGTTTACTGTCCTGGTCACCAGTATTACTGGGAATGGAAACGGGTAAATCCAGAATCCTACATTTTCAGTTGCTTCCAGAACAGGAACAGAGGGGAAATCTTCCATTGGGGGCACTGGTTCCAGTGACAACTCTCTAAGGGTCCTTTCACACGGGCGTTCCATTTTTTCTGGAAAAAACCATTACTGAACTGATGAAAAAAATGGATCAGTTCACGTCAGTTTACATCAGTTCACGTCCATCTTTCACCCGTTTACATCAGTTTACGTCAGTTTTTCATCAGTTGACGTCAGTTTACATCCATCTTTCACCCATTTACATCCGTTTTTCATCAGTTCACGTCAGTTTACATCCATTTTTCACCCTTTAACATCAGTTTTTCATCAGTTTACATCCATCTTTCACCCGTTTACATCAGTTTTTTCATCAGTTCACGTCAGTTTACATCCATCTTTCACCCGTTTACATCCATTTTTCATCAGTTTACATCCATCTTTCACCCGTTTACATCAGTTCACATCAGTTCACATCCATCTTTCACCCGTTTACATCAGATTTTCATCAGTTCACGTCAATTTACATCCATCTTTCACCCGTTTACATCCGTTTACATCAGTTTTTCATCAGTTCACGGCAGTTTACATCCATCTTTCACCCGTTTACATCAGTTTACGTCAGTTTTTTCATCAGTTCACGTCAGTTTACATCCATCTTTCACCCATTTACATCAGTTTTTCATCAGTTTATGTCAGTTTACATCCATCTTTCACCCATTTACATCAGTTTTTCATCAGTTTATGTCAGTTTACATCCATCTTTCACCCGTTTACATCAGTTTTTCATCAGTTTACGTCAGTTTACATCCATCTTTCACCCGTTTACATCAGATTTTTATCAGTTCACGTCAGTTTACATCCATCTTTCACCCGTTTACATCCGTTTTTTTCGTCAGTTTACATCCATCTTTCACCCGTTTACATCAGATTTTTATCAGTTCACGTCAGTTTACATCCATCTTTCACCCGTTTACATCCGTTTTTTTCGTCAGTTTACATCCATCTTTCACCCGTTTACATCAGATTTTCATCAGTTCACGTCACGTCAAGTTACATCCATCTTTCACCCGTTTACATCTGTTTACGTCAGTTTTTCATCAGTTCACGTCAGTTTACATCCATCTTTCACCCGTTTACATCAGTTTTTCATCAGTTTGTCAGTTTACATCCATCTTTCACCCGTTTACATCAGATTTTCATCAGTTCACGTCAATTTACATCCATCTTTCACCCGTTTACATCAGATTTTCATCAGTTCACATCCATCTTTCACCCATTTACATCTGATTTTCATCAGTTTACATCCATCTTTTACCCGTTTATATCGTTTTTTTCATCAGTTTACATCCATCTTTCACCCATTTACCTTAGTTTTTCATCAGTTCACGTCAATTTACATCCATCTTTCACCCATTTACATCAGATTTTCATCAGTTCACGTCAAATTACATCCATCTACATCAGTTTTTCATCAGTTTACATCAGTTTTTCATCAGTTCACGGCAGTTTACATCCATCTTTCACCCGTTTACATAAGTTTTTCATCAGTTCGTCAGTTTACATCCATCTTTCACCCGTTTACATCAGATTTTCATCAGTTCACGTCGATTTACATCCATCTTTCACCCGTTTACATCCGTTTGTCAGTTTTTCGTCAGTTTACATCCGTTTTTTCATCAGTTCACGTCAGTTTACATCCATCTTTCACCCGTTTACATCCGTTTTTCATCAGTTTACATCCATCTTTCACCCATTTACATTAGTTTTTCATCAGTTCACTTCAATTCACATCCATCTTTCACCCGTTTACATCCGTTTACGTCAGTTTTTCATCAGTTCACGGCAGTTTACAACCATCTTTCACCCGTTTACATCCCTTTTCATCAGTTTACATCCATCTTTCACCCGTTTACATTCGTTTTTCATCAGTTCACGTCAATTTACATCCATCTTTTACCCGCTTACATCCGTTTACGTCAGTTTTTCATCAGTTTACATCTGTTTTTTTTACATCCTTTACCAATGAAAAAACGGACCATATGTCCGTTTACATCAGTTTGCATCTGTTTAAATCTGGTTTTCGTCCATTCTGTTTTTTTTACAGCAGAAAAAACAGGGTTTTCTCCCATTCAAAAAAACGGATGCAGACATTAATGGATGTAAACAGATGATCACCCGTTTACATCAGCTAGTCCATAGAAATACATGGGTGTCCATTTTTCATCCGTAAATGGACAGATAGAAAACAAACATACGGAACTCCTGGACATGTCACTTCCTGTTAACCGTATGGGACAGGAAGTGAAGAGTATTCTCTCTTGGGAAACACAGATGACAAAAAACTGGTTTTAACCCTCCCTTGGGCTATATCCAAAATAAAAAAAAAAAATCCTTAGATATAAAGTATCATTCGGAATAAAACACAAATATTCAATATACAATTTGTATAAATATTACTCCACTCTATTTTTCTGGTTTTTTTTGTGCTTTTTGCCACTGAATAGAACATCTCACAGTGTGCCGACCTGGATCTGTCATACCCAATTTCCGGCTTTTCCTGCAGACACAAACTAGCCATTACACACGATCGATTTTCCAATAAAGCTCCCTGGTTTTTACATGCTCACTATTCTATTTTTTTTTTTAACATATTATTTCACACAGTTTTTTCAGATGATCCAGCTAACTGCCCTCTGTGCCAGACAGTTCAGTTAGCACAAATAACTGCTGAGGGAAAATGAATTGCAAGTTAACAAAAGGAATTTGAGAGTAGAGAGAGAGCTTCCCAAGAATTTGGAACACTGCAGTAAAGCACATGCGGTCTGCTGCACTACTAAGTAGGATTCACAGCATGTGTACATAATTCACATCCATAGCTGTCCTCCTCCTGTGTACATATATAATTATAAAACTATCCAAAGAACACAGGATCCTAAAGTGATTCTAAGGTCAAAACATTTTTTACCTTAATACCTTCCCTGCATTAAAGCGACGAAAGGGGAGAAAAAAATTTCCCCCTGCAAGGCAATGTTAAAGCGGAGTTCCACTCAACATATCAAAAAAGAAAAGTCAGCAGCTACAAAAACTGTAGCGGCTGACTTTTAAAAAACAGCCACTTACCTGTCCCTCAGTCCTGTGGTGTGTCCCCCCTCCGCAGCTTGTTTCACCAGCCATCCTGTATTCCAGGAGGCCGGCATCTTCAGCGTGGGCACCCGGCTGTGATAGCTTGCAGCTTCACAGCCGGGTACCCACTGCGCATGCACGAGTAGCGCTGCGCTTCATGAATGGTCTTGTAGTCTTCTGGGATCTGTCACTTGTCCCAAAAGACTAGAGGGAGGGAGGACACCTTCTGCTTCCGATCGCCTAGGCGATCCGACCGGAAATGGGAGCGGGTACCTGTCAAATTCGGGTACCTGCTCCCCAAAGGTGCCAATCGTTAATGGGGAGCAGTCCTTAAAGCGGAACTTCCCCTTTTGGATGGAGCTCCGCTTTAAGCCCTCATGCACACAGGATGTTTTTAACCGCGGCTGTTTTTGGCTTTTGATGTTTTTTTTCTACAGCCAGTAAACCCCCCCAGCATGTTATCCTATGTGTCCATACACACATAGACTATAATCAGCGTTTTATGTCAGGGGCGTTTTTTGGCAGGAAAAAACCCCAGAATTTGTGGGTTTCTAGGAGTTGTTTAGCTATAAAAACACTCTGACGCTGAAAAAGTGGCAAACTGGAAGTTTAGGATTTTTTTTAGCGTAAAAAATATTTTTTGGTAAAAAAAAAAAAAAGTCAAAAAACACAGCAAAACATTAATACAAAATGCTAACAAACTCACTTTTTCAACAGGACTTTACACAACTAACGTTACCAGCGTTATTAAAACGCCCCGTGAGCCTAAAAAGAAGCCCTCCAGCGGCACGCTGTCCCCATTGACAAGGCTTTCACTTTTACCCGATATTCCTTCTGAGTCCGCAGGCCCTGACCGTTTGAATGACCGAGCTGCAATGGCGTCACAGTCGCGGCACAGATCTCTCAATGGACAGCATGCCATCCATTGTGAGCACAGTGCGCATGCGCCAGTGACGTCACCAGCTGCTGCTAAACTAAATATCTCCTAAACGGTGGACGTTTAGGAGATATTTTCTGTGCCCGGCCCCAGACTGCGCTTGGGTATTTCCGTTAGACTACCGCTTCCCCATCCGAACACCGACAACAGACACCACAGCCGACCATACAACACTAGACGACAACAATCTGGAAGTAATCCCGAAGGTAGACTCCTTTATTTGAACACAGATACAAGATATATACACTCAGGGGGCATTCCCCCCTCCCTGCATAATGACACAGATCGGGGCAATCTACCTTTAATAACAAGAGACACACTAGTAGTCAAACTTCACACCAGCAGACAGTCCCATCAGGAGGGAGGGCTGCTGGAGACACCCCCCCCCCCCCCCACTAAGCTAATACACAAACATACATCCTATAATAGTTTGCTCCCAAGCAAGATACACAATAGAACAATGGGATGCAACCACATGGCATTAAACAATCAAAAAACCGCCACCCCAATATTAGTACAGATCACCCTGTACCCCTAACAGGCACAGGGTGACTTACACATAATAGGGATATGGGGAGCTGAGACAGGGGTCTCCCCACCTCTCCAAAGTGAGCTGTGTTCCATGGGCCCCCCACCCAAAGTGACTCCCGTCACAAAGCCTTTCTATAGATAAACAGAAGGACATTACTACCACTAGAAGGTAAAAAACACCCCACTACCTGTTCTACCCAGGGGCGGACTGACCATTTGGAAACTCGGGCGATGCCCGAGGGCCTGGGGACAGTAGGGGGCCCAATGAGATGCCCCTGGTACCTTTTTCATAGGCTTTTTTGAATTTGGGCAAGGACACAGGGGCCCCATGATCACCTATTGCCTGGGGGCCCCATGAGTTGTCAGTCCGCCCCTGGTTCTACCCCCCTCCATCACTAAACACTTACCTGTCTCCTCTCACCGATCCCGGCTGTCCCGTCTCCAGCCCCGGTCCTCTCACTCCCTGGATTCACAGAAGACACTGAGGGCAATGGGAGCCATAGACACCTGCTGCAGTCAGCCAACCTCCTCTGAGGAGGGGACGGGGGTGTGGCTTACTGATGCTGCGTGTGTTCATGGATGCACACAGACCAGCTCAATAGTGCGCACACACGGGTGCCTCCACAGCACCCCACTTGGTAAGGAGGCACTCAGAGGAGGACTTCCAGTAGCAGAGGTAAGGGACTTTTCTGTACAAAATCGCTGTACAGGAGGAGACAAGTATAAACCTCCTTTTTACTAAACAAAAAAAATTGTATCCTTTAGTATCACTTTACCCCCCCCCCCCCCCCCCCCGGTCACATCAAGCCCGACTTTGAAATCATGCGACTTACAGTGCAGTTGCACGATTTCAAAGTTGGATGACATACCGATTTCAGGTGCGATTTGCAAGACATCAGACACAGACGGCTTTGCAAACCGCACCGCAAGTAGTGCATGTGCTACCATAGAAGTTGGTGTGTGGCTCCGGCCAAGTCATATCCGCACCGATATGACCGCTGGAATTGCAGACAACAGGATGCGACTTGCAAATCGCATACCAAGTCACACCCAGTGCGCCCGGGGTCTTAAGGGTAAGTTATATTTGATCACGTTGTGAATCGCCTTCTCAATCACGGAGGACCAGATTACCTAAATCAAGATAATACCTCTGTATGCAGAAGAGGATACCAAGCTTTGTTCTGATCTGCATATAGTATACATATGTATATGTACTAAATCAGCATCACAAAACAGACCCCTAGTCACTTGTATACACCCCCCTGTGCCTGGCATTATCACTGCACTCAGACAAAGCACCCCCCCCCCCCACCCGTCTGATCAAGATAATGACCAAATTCATTCTAAGGAGCTGAGACAAGTAAACTGATTCTATTGTTGGCTGTATACAGGGCCATAGATAAGGGGGTACCACCAGTCCTCCTGTACGGGGGGGGGGGGGGGGGGGCAGCTGGGTGAATCAGATGTGGGCAGGGAAGGTGATCGACGTGGCAGGGGGCGATTACTGGGACCGATCCCCTCTATGGCTCACTCTGCAGCAGCTGAAAGTTGGCTTCTACTCCTCTCCCTCCCACTGGCTTTCAGCTGCTGCAGAGTGAGCCATAGAGGGGATCGGTCCCAGTAATCCCCCCTTCCCGGTGCACAGACCACCCTCCTTGTGCACCATTCCTTTTCCCCTGCTGTCCAGGCCCCCCTTTGTGCCAACAGCTTCCCTCCACTGCTACCCACCGGCAGCTGCAAGCACTCAATAGGATTCTTCAGGATTGAGAGTGGGGGAAGGCTCTGGTAAATATGTCACATTTACCAGCCCCTTCCTTTCCTGAAGGAACACAATGAGTGTATGGTGCTGATCACTCACTGTGTTCATGCATGACTAAAGTATAGTAAACTGTTTTTTTTTTTCCTTGGGGGGGGGGGGGGGCTGCCAGTTTGAGGCCCCATGGTTTCTAACAGCAGCCCTGGCTGTATACATCAGAGGTAAATGAATACAAACCATATCAATGCACTGCTTGTAACCATCTGGGTGTATAGGTGGCATCCAATGTGCTTCTATCTTTCAGAATTCTTCATTAACCCCAAAAGGGAAATTATTCAAATACAGTTACATTTAAAGGGATAGTTCGCCTTCACCAAAAAAAAACTGCTAATGCAGGTAAGGGGCGTCCTGGGAGTATTTCTGTCAGGCTTCAAGAGGTACATAAATGGCCTACGCTTCTAGCAAGGGCATTATTCCATTTAATTCAGAGCTGCTCAGTTTGTGTTCATCTATAGACACCCTTTATCTGCATAGGCAGTTCTTTGGTGAAGGTGTACTATCCCTGCAATGAGGACAACACAAAATCACAAAAATGAACAGAAACAAGACGCAAAACAGCAAGAAAATTAGCAGAAATAAAACTAATAACTCAGCGGCCAGACTCATCCACCTCACCAACCTCCCCGCTTCTGCCACCCCCTCTGTCATTCCCTCCACTGGCTCCACCCCCTCTGTCATTCCCTCCAGTGGCTCCACCCCCCTCTGTCATTCCCTCCGCTGGCTCCACCCCCTCTGTCATTCCATCCGCTGGCTCCACCCCCTCTGTCATTCCCTCCGCTGGCTCCACCCCCCTCTGTCATTCCCTCCACTGGCTCCACCCCCCTCTGTCATTCCCTCCACTGGCTCCACCCCCCTCTGTCATTCCCTCCACTGGCTCCACCCCCCTCTGTCATTCCCTCCACTGGCTCCACCCCCCTCTGTCATTCCCTCCACTGGCTCCACCCCCCTCTGTCATTCCCTCCACTGGCTCCCAGTTGCCCAACACATCAAATTCAAACTACTAACATTGACATACAAAGCCATTCATAACACTGCCCCTACCTACCTCATCAACCTGATACCCAACTACCACCCTACCCATACTCTTCGTTCCTCACAGGACCTCCTTCTGTCTTGCTCCCTGGTCTCCTCCTCCCACGCACGACTGCAAGACTTCTCCAGGTCCTCCCCCATCCTCTGGAACTCACTGCCCCAAATACATCAGATTGTCGCCTTCCCTCCTCACCTTGAGGCGCTCCCTGAAAACTCACCTCTTCAGGGAAGCCTACCCCACCCTCACCTAACAGCCGTCCTGCTTCATTTCTCCTACCACTCCATCCCCCACAGCCACTTCCTCCTAGATTGTAAGCTCGAAAGAGTAGGGTCCTCTAACCCCTCTTGGGCTGTTTGTTGTTGCTGTACTGTTCCATGTATTGTCCCCCCCCTCTATTGTACAGCGCTGAGCAAACCCTTTGGTGCTATATAAATTCAATGTAATAATAATAAAAAACAAAATAAATATTTGACTGTAATAAACCATGCCATCCTAATAAAATACTACATAGAATAAACAACACTGATTGAAACAAAAAAAAACAGAACAGAAAATCAAACTATCAAAATGCAAATTTTACACCACTTTCTATAACATTACCCCAAATCATCACACATCGCTAACCTAATACTAACATAATATAAAAGCTACATAAAATACTAACATTATATTTATATGAACAATAATCGTTTTTATTACAATTATTTATCATTATAAATTTTCGATTATAACTGTATTATAAAAGTATATTTATAATTGAAATATTAAATAATAATCGTTTGTAGATAATTATAAACTTTTAATTATGATTACATTATAAAATAAAAAAATATCAATGTTGGTAAATATTAGGTTTTTTTTTATAGACCATTATAAACATGTAATTATAATAATATGTTTACAATTGAAATTCACATAATAATAGTAATATTTTGTAGGTATTATATATTTTATGTATTTTAAACTTTTATTTATATTATGATTGCCATTCGTGTTCATTTCATCGCAGACAAGGGAAGTAGTCGGTGAGGACACGGCACTATAGACGTCTACACGTGGATAGGTTTCCAAGCACCACACATGGATTCAATGGAAATCTTTGTAGCACGACAGTACAATACCTCCTCGGGTATGCAGCGTGAACACGCACATGGGTGGATTGCTGGAGAACATGTCACGGAGGACTAACAGATTGGAATCTTTACTCTTCAAGGCTTAATCCACCTTTTAGACTTTTTTCACGCTACACCCCATATTTAGAATGTAACATGACACGTGGCCACAATCCACCCCCACCCACTTACCTGAAGTTCTTCCTGCGTTGGGGATATTAATTGCTGTGGCTCCGCCCACCCAGCTGCATCATTCAGTGTTTAGTATAGAAGTGGGAGGGATCAGACCCTCTGCTGAGTTTGGACTGCAGCACGTGTCCCCAATGGGGAGAGTCTCCCCTTCTTTTTGTATTGGTGACCATTGTCACCACAAAAGAAAGCGAGGGGAAATCTTGCAATGGGGGCACCTCATCTGGGGACAACTGTGTAAAAAGGAATTCCCCTCACTTTGGGAGATTTCCACTAACTTCCTGTTCCTTCCATGGGACAGGAGGTGAAAGGAAATCTCTCCCCTAATGGGTGAAACGTATCTCTAGATAAAACTTTTTTTTTTTTCTTTTTAGGAAGTGAGGAGACATCTTGCAATGGGGACACCCATCTAAGAGGGGAATTCACCTCACTTTGGGAGATTTACACTAACTTCCTGTTATCTCCCTGGGACAGGAAATGAAGGGAAATCTCCCCAAATGGATGAAATGTATCTCTAGATAAAACCTTTTTTTTTGGAAGTGAAGGGAAATCTAGCAATGGGGACACCTGTCTAAGAGGGGCATTCCTCTTACTTTGGAAGATTTCCACTGACTTCCTGTTACGTCCATAGAACAGGAAGTGAAGGGAAATCTCCCCAAATGGGTGAAATGTATCTCTAGGTAAAACCTATTTTTCTTTAGGAGGTGAGGGAAAATCTTGCAAAGGAGACACCCATCTAAAAGGGAATTCCCTCCACTTTGGGAGATTTCCACCAACTTCCTGTTCCTTCCCTGGGACAGGAATTGCAGGAAATCTCCCCTAGGGTACACAGGTGGGTTTCTAGACCAAACCTGTTTTTGTAGCATTTGATAAAGCGGGGGAAGGATCAGACGCTCTAAAAGGTTTTTATTGCTAAGTATCTGCATTGGGGACATTCGACTCGCTCTATTCTGCTGACTGTTGTCACCCAGACAGGAAGTGAGAGTGAAGTGAAATCCAGGATTTTAGAGTTGTCCCCAAAACAAGAGGTGAAGGGAAGTCTTTCAATGGGGACACCTACCTAAGAGAGGAATTCTCCCCATTTTAGGAGATTTCCTCTCATGTCCTGTTGTTTTTTCTTGAACAGGACGTTAAGGGAAACCTCTCCAAGGGTACACAGATGGGTTTCTAGACAAAACCTTTTTTTTTTGTAGTGTTGGATAGAGGAGGGACCCTCTGTCAGGTTTTTATTGCTGTGTGTGTCCCCACTGGGGAACTTCACCCCTCCATATGTTCTGGTGACAGTTGTCAACCAGACAGGAAGTGAGGGGGAATCTTCCAATGGGGCCACCTGCTACGAAGGGGAATTATTCTCACTTTGGGAGATTTCCTTTAACTTCCTGTTGTGTCTCTGGGACAGGAAGTGAAGGAGAATGATGGTGGGATACAGAACCCAGGGACAGACCTACAAACCCCAGGACTGCCCCTGGAAAAGAGGAGCAGTCATCCAGCAAACTCCTCCAGTCTATAATACTCAAGCGGAGGAGAAGCCCAGCACGGAGTGGCCCCTGGAGGACACAGATGAGTCTAAGGGCCCCTGTGCTGTACAAGGCGGTCGTGGTCTCTCTCTTACCCGGCTCCGGTCTCTCTCGGCTCTCTCAGCCTCTTCCTCCTCGCTCCTCAGGCCTCTGAGCTGTGCTGGGGAAACTCCGACGTGGCGTGACGTCCATTGAGCCCAGAGCGCCTCAGCCAATCAGCGCCCAGGAACTAAGCCCCGGCCTCACCTTGCCCACAGAGTGACGTCACTCTCCCACGCCGCCGCTGCGGGAGGTGGAAGGGTGGCTATGCGTTCCCATGGTGACGGCTCACATGCTCAGACCTCTGTTTACACAGCCCAGTGATCATTTCCCTGAACTGGGAGATGAAACAAGAACTGTCTGTGTTTTCCCATGGCCACCTATTTCCGGATACTTCTACTGATTGACATTAAAGCCAAACTCCAGACATTTTTATTTTTTCTTTAGAATGTTGGATTTCAATTGCATTTTTTTAAAAGTGGAACTCCATTTTCTACGTTTTTTTAACCCCTCGCCCTCCTGAGGATTCCCCCCCTTCCTGAGCAGGCCATTTTTTGCGATATGGTGCTGATTTACTTTGACAATTGCGCAGTCATGCATCGCTGGACCCAGATGAAATTTACGTCCTTTTTTTCCCACAAATTGAGCTTTCTTACGGTGGTATTTGATCGCCTGTGCGTTTTTTTATTTTTTGTGCTATAAACAAAAAATTGCGACAATTTTGAGAAAAACAATATTTTTGACTTTTTGCTATTAACCTCCCTAGCAGTCTGATTATTTCAGATTTTTGGTGCTGAAAGCGGTACCATTATTTTGCATGGAAATATGTAGTTTTTTTATTGTAGGCCTGTAATTTTTAGGAATAACTCACTGAAATCTCTCCGAACAAGAGTCTAGTAAACATCCCGGGTATGATAAAACTTGAAACACGAAATCATAAATTATAATTTAATAAATAATCATAAAAAATAATATAATAATAATAAATTTAATTCAATAATATAATCAAACCAAAAACACTGAAATGTGAAATAGAGCGCCAAGTTCACACATCGCTGAGCAAAGTCGCAGAATCGTTTTCAGTGTCTGATGACGAATTTCCCCCACGAATCATTATCACTCAATTCTGCAAGTGGTTCTGATTTACTATCGCTGTTCTCTAGCCGGTCTAAACCCGCTTTTGACCTAAAGGGACGCTTTTTGGACGCCATGGATGTTTCTCAGTTTCCAGGCAGAAAGAACAGACAAAATGCAGGCAGGGCACCGGACAAAATGTATGTGAAATGGGTTGAAACAGCAATGTTTTACTATGTAAAATTTGGAAAAAATGACATTTTTAAAAAATTTTAAATTTCCCGCCGCCGCCCGTACGTCCCGACGTCACAGGGACCGGAACACAGAAGCCGGATGCTGGCATCGGCCGGAGGAGATGGCCGGGGACGCTGCAGAGAACATAGCGGGAGCGAAGGACAAGGTAAGTTCTGCAGGGACTCCCTATGCAGCGCCGCATGGCAAGCCCGAGTGTAGCTCGAGGTTACTGCTTTTGGTACTGACATTTTACCCCGAGCTACACTCGGGAATACCGCTAGGGGAGGTAAACATGTCCAGTAAAAAATTTTAAAAATCAAATTTCGTTATAAATTTAGGCCAAAATGTATTCTGCTCCATGTCTTTGCTAAAAAAAAATCCCAATGCGTGCAAATTAAATGGTTTACATGAAAGTTATAACGTTTACAAATGGCGGTATAGATACTGGGATTCTTTTTTATACTAGTAATGGAGGCGATCAGCAACTTATAGCGGGACTATGGCAGGCATTCTGACACTGGGGGGGGAACTGACTTGGTGTCACTGACATCCCCAGTGACACCAATACAGTGATCAGTGCTAATAAAAAGCACTGACACTGTACTAATGGCACCGGGCAGGAAGGGGTTAACATGTGGGATGATCAAAGGGTTAAGGGTGTGCAGGGAGTGTTTTACTAGGGGGCGGTGTCTGTGTGCTTCATTGTAAGCACACTGCTTTGGATGGCTGTGCTGTGCACAGCCATCCAAAGCAGTGTGCAGGAGCTGACGGGGAGGAGGACTGTTTTGTTTACAAACAGTTCTCCTCCTGGTCGGAGACGTCCGGCAATCACCGGGTGCTGGCGAATAATCACCAGCTGGGACCTGGTGATTGACAGCCGCGGCCACGAATGGCAGTGTGAGTAGGGCGCACATGCATGCGCCCCCTACCTGGTAATGCAAAATCATGTATATATATATATGTGATATTGCGCACCCCTGCCGCCCTGTAGCAGTATTTCTGCTATAGGGCGGTCAGGAAGCAGTTAAGTACCTTCCTATTCCTGGATAAACAATAGTGGTGTACTTCTCCTCTCCACACTCCAGAGCCATCCCTGGATCCATCCTCCATCCAGCGGTGGCCGTTCTCTTCATGTCTTCCTCTTCAGTTTGGATTTTTCCCTCAACACTCCACAGAAGCTGCTCTGCTGAGCTCGCGATCTGTGCATGATTCCCGCACTGCGTTCAGATCGCACTGCCCTTGTGATTATTATTATTATACAGGATTTATATTGCGCCAACAGTTTGCTCAGCGCTGCGATAGGTAGGAGGAGAACCAGGAGAGATCAGAGTCTTGGAGGCCAAGAGAGTGGAGTTTTTTGAGGAGGAGGGGATGGTCAACAGTATCAAAAGCCGCAGAGAGGTCAAGTAGTAAGAGTATGGAGCAGTGGCCATTGCTTGGGATGAGTACGGAGTAGTGGTCATTGGTTGGGATGAGTATGGAGCAGTGGCCATTGCTTGGGATGAGTACGGAGTAGTGGTCATTGGTTGGGATGAGTACGAAGCAGTGGCCGTTGCTTGGGATGAGTACGGAGCAGTGGCTGTTGGTTGGGATAAGTACGGAGCAGTGGCCGTTGCTTGGGATGAGTACGGAGCAGTGGCCGTTGCTTGGGATGTGTACGGAGCAGTGGCTGTTGGTTGGGATGAGTACGGAGCAGTGGCCGTTGGTTGAGATGAGTACGGAGCAGTGGCCGTTGGTTGGGATGAGTACGGAGCAGTGGCCGTTGGTTGGGATGAGTACGGAGCAGTGGCCGTTGGTTTGGATGAGTACGGAGCAGTGGCCGTTGGTTGGGATGAGTACGGAGCAGTGGCCGTTGGTTGGGATGAGTACGGAGCAGTGGCCGTTGGTTGGGATGAGTACGGAGCAGTGGCCTGGGATGAGTACAGAGCAGTGGCCGTTGGTTGGGATGAGTACAGAGCAGTGGCCGTTGGTTGGGATGAGTACGGAGCAGTGGCCGTTGGTTGGGATGAGTACGGAGCAGTGGCCGTTGGTTGGGATGAGTACGGAGCAGTGGCCGTTGGTTGGGATGAGTACGGAGCAGTGACAGTTGGTTGGGATGAGTACAGAGCAGTGGCCGTTGGTTGGGATGAGTACGAAGTAGTGGCCGTTGGTTGGAATGAGTGCGGAGTAGTGGCCATTGGTTGGGATGAGTACGGAGTAGTGGCCGTTGGTTGGGATGAGTACGGAGCAGTGGCCGTTGGTTGGGATGAGTACGAAGTAGTGGCCGTTGGTTGGAATGAGTGCGGAGTAGTGGCCATTGGTTGGGATGAGTACGGAGTAGTGGCCATTGGTTGGGATGAGTACGGAGTAGTGGCCGTTGGTTGGGATGAGTACGAAGTAGTGGCCGTTGGTTGGAATGAGTGCGGAGTAGTGGCCATTGGTTGGGATCAGTACGGAGCAGTGGCCATTGGTTGGGATGAGTATGGAGCAGTGGCCATTGGTTGGGATGAGTACGGTGTAGTGGCCATTGGTTGGGATGAGTACGGTGTAGTGGCCATTGGTTTTAGCAGTTAGTAGATCATTAATGAGTTTTAGTAGGGTCAAGAAGGTTGTTGTCGGTGAGGTGGGAGCTCAGGCGATTGTAGACTAAGCGTTCTAAGAGTTTAGCGGTAAATGGCAGCAGGGAGATGGGTCTTATGTTGTTCAGGTTGTTGGGGTCCAGGGAGGGCTTTTTAAGTATGGGACTGATGTGCGCATGCTTTAGAGGGGAGGGGAAGGCACCAGTAGAGAGGGAGGGATTGAAGATGTGAGTGAGGGAGCATAGGATGGAAGAAGAGGGTGACCGTAGTAGTTGTGAGGGAACAGGATCCAGGGGGCAGGTAGTGAGACGGGCTTCTGAGAAAACCTTAGTGACCTCTTCGGTAGTAGCGAGGTCTAAAGAGGAAAGTGTTGAGGGAGGTTTAGTATAAGGTATGCTAAGTGGGATGGATGTCTGTGCGGTGAAGATGCCCCTACGAATTGCATCAATCTTGTTTTTGAAATGATTTGCAATCTCATGAGCAGTGAGTGAGGTACTGGGTGGAGGTGGAGAAAGTAGAGAGTTAAAAGTAGAGAAGAGACGACGAGGACTGGATGACAAACTATTGATGAGAGTGACAAAGTAGGCTTGTTTGGCAGCATGGAGGGAGGAATTGTATGTTAAGAAAGCAGATTTATATTGGGCGAAAGCTTGGTGAGATTTGGTTTTACACCACAATTGCTCCAGCACATGGCTATGTCGCTTAAGGTTTCTGGTGTGGTCAGTCTGCCAAGGTTGTAATGGTCGGGGCCTGATGCTTCATGTTGTTAGAGGAGCAAGCGAGTCTAATGTGGATTAAAGCAAACTGTTGTAGACACCAGTGGCCAGGGCAGGACAGGGGAGAGATTCTGTCATAGAGGCGGTTAGTTGCAGAGTGGAAAAGAGCAGGGTTCAAGTTGATCTGCAGCGGGTGTCAGGGCAGTGGTAACATTGCCCCAAACGCAGGTAGCAAACGCAGTGTATGATACAAAACTACTATGTAATCCGGTGCGTTTCCAAAAGTAGTACATGCACTACATTGGTGCAATTTGGTGAGATCTGTGCTTTATTCTAGTCTATAATTTCATTTTCTGTTCTATTCTGTTTTATTCTATTCTATAAAGCAGCCTTTATAGGTTTTATTATATTCTATTTTATTCTATTAATTTCTATTCTATTCTTTTCCTTTGCATTCTATTTTATTCTATTCTATTCCTTTCTATTCTATTACATTCTGTTTTATTCTTTAATATTTTATAAAGCAGACTTGATTTTCTTCTATTCTATTTTGTTCTATTCCATTATTTTCTGTCCTTTTCTATTCTTTTCTGTTCATTTGTATTCTTTTCCATTCTTTTCTATTCTGTTAAGCAGCATTGGTTTTATTCTATTCTATTTTATTCTATTCCTTTCTATTCTATTCCTTTGTATTCTAATTTATTCTATACTATTCTATGCATTTCTATTCTATTCTATACTATTTTATTATTTTCTATTCTTTTCTATTTTATAAAGCAGCCTTGATTTTATTGTATTCTATTTTGTTCTATTCCATTATGTTATTTTATTCTATTCATTTCTATTCTATTATATTCTGTTTTATTCTTTTCTTTTTTATAAAGCAGCCTTGATAGTATTCTATTATATTTTATTCCATTATTTTCTTTTCTATTCTATTCTGATTTTTTTTTTTCTATTTTATAAAGCAGCATTGGTTTTATTATATTCTGTTTTTTTATATTCCTTTCTTTTCTATTCTATTCCTTTGTATTTTATTCTATTCTATTGCTTTCTATTCTAATATATTCTGTTTTATTCTTTTCTATTTTATAAAGCAGCTTCGATTTTATTCCATGCTATTTTGTTCTATTTCATTCTTTTCTATCCTATTCTATTCTTTTCTATTTGTTTGTATTCTATTCTATTCTTTTCTATTCTATAAAGCAGCCTTGGTTTTATTCTACTCTATTTTATTTAATTCTATCCTTTTATTTTTTTATTCTATTCTTTTGTATTCTATTCTGTTATGTTTTATTCTGTTCTATTCTTTTCTATTCTGTAAAGCACTCAAAGTAGGAATCATCATCTTATTTCACTTTTATACCTTACTGTATTTATTGCAATATGTTTCCATTTCGAAATTCAAATGCATTTTCAAATTCTGATATTTTGTTTCCTTATAATTTATTTCAGATTCATTGAAATTCGTTACTATTGCGATCCGAATCTCCAAAGAACTAAAATTTTGTCTGAATTTCGATTTGTAACGAAACGAATCGCACATGTCTAACAGACATATCAGTATGGATGTCACATGACTTCCTCAAACTCAGTCTATCCAGAACCGAGCTCATAAAATTTCCTCCCCCCCCTATGGGCCTTGTTCCCTGACTTCTCTGTCAAGATCAGGGGCGGACTGACAACTCATGGGGCCCCTGTGTCCTTGCCCAAACTCAAAAAAGCCTATGAAAAAGGTACCAGGGGTATCTCACGGGGCCCCCTACTGACCCCGGGCCCTTGGGCAGTGCCCGAGTTTCCAAATGGTCAGTCCTCCCCTGGTCAAGATTGATGATGTGACTATCAGTCCATCCCCACATGCCAAGCTGCTAGGTGTAATCCTGGACTCTGGACTATCCTTCTGTCCCCACAGCCAATCCCTGTCCTAACTACAGTCTTCACCAATGACACCACAAAGCTTCTAATTCACTCCCCTACTCAGAGTCTTCTACTCCTCTCTGCCGATCCCTCCATTGGCTTCCAGGCACCCAACAAATAAAACTCAAAATACTAACAACTTATAAACCCACCCATGACTCTGCCCGAGCTACATCACTAACCTAGTCTCAAAATATCGACCAAATCATTCTCTTCATTCCTCCCAAGACCTTCTGCTCTCTAGCCCGCTTCTCACCTCCTCCCATGCTGGCCTCCAGGACTTCTCCAGAGTCTCTCCCACCCTCTGCAACTCCCTACCCCAAACTGTCCAACTATCTCCTACTCTGTCCACGTTTAGGCGATCCCTGAAAGCCATTCTCTACAGAGAAGCTTATCATTCCTCCACCCGAGAGCTGTATTTTTATTTTCTTCATCAGATCATTCCTTACAGTTAGTACCTTTTGTATCACTTGACCCTTTCAGATTGTATGCTCTAACGAGCCGGGCCCTCTGATTACTCCTTGATTTGGATTGTTACCAGGGACGGACTGACCATTTGGAAACTCGGGCACTGCCCGAGGGCCCGGGGTCAGTAGGGGGCCCCATGAGATGCCCCTGGTACCCTTTTCATAGGCTTTTTTGAGTTTGGGCAAGGACACAGGGGCCCCATGATCCCCTATTGCCTGGGGGCCCCATGAGTTGTCAGTCCGCCCCTGATTGTTACTATGCTTGGTAGAGGAGAGGACGGGGCTGAGCCAGGTTGGGTCCCCACGTGTAGACCGAGACCACAAAAAGCCAAGTTTGAAAGGTTACATTGACCATACTGGGCCATTGGAATGTCCCTCTAAATAAGGATCTATCCAAGGGCTCCAAATTTGTTTTAATTTTTTTTTTTTTTAGTTTACCATGGAAAATGGCTGCTAGCCTTTCATTGAACAAGTACCATGAGATTTTTTGCTTGACCTGTGCAACAGTCAGAATACCAGATTTCGATGCCTTCACCAGGGGTTGTCTAGCGGCAGTAAAGATGAAAGATACCAATTTCCATTGTTTGGAGGTACATGTAGAAGGCTTAAGGTTGAGAAAGGTCTCATATGGATTTGTAGGAAGACTGTTTACCAAAACCATGTATACTAATTGGTACACTCATCCAAAAATCTGTTCATTCATTCATTTCAAGCACAGATCACAAAGATACCAGCCAGGCCTCCTGTGCAGTGACATGCGGTGTTCTCCGTTGCACCATGGAAAAATGCAGACATGCGACATTTTAGCACAGCTCACCAAACCGCACATCACCCCAGTGCTGCGATGTGAAGGGGGCACATAGAAAACAATTGTAGTGCTCAGGGGCAGACGGACCATTCGAGCACTCGGACACTGCCTGAGGGCCCGGGGTCAGCAGGGGGCCCCATAAAATGCCGCTGGTACCTTTTATAGGCTTTTTTTGGGTGTGTTTTGAGTGTGGGCAAGGACACAGGGGCCCCATGAGAAGCCCCTGGTACCTTTTTCATAGGCTTTTTTGAGTTTGGGCAAGGACACAGGGGCCCCATGATCCCCAATTGCCCGGGGGCCCCATGAGTTGTCAGTCTGCCCCTGGTAGTGCTACTCCACTAAGCGCCATTGGTAATAGCTGGTCCTTCCCAAACAGCAGAGATGCTGCCCATTCCCACAAGCAACCAGTCCATGCATACCGGCTCCAGTGACTCAGTCTAGGCCTAGGGGATGTCTTTTTGACATTTAGTGCCTGAAGGACTTTAAGGGCTCATGTACACGGGACGTTTAAAAAACACTTCTGAATGATGGAAACTGACTGCTGCAAAACGCAGGTTAAAAAACATCTGTTTAGCCGCGTTTGCATACTGCGTTTATGCTTAGAAGCTTTTTTTAAGATAACCTCAGGAGACCTTCCAAAATTCCCAGAATGCACTGAAAAACAGTATTTATTATTTATTTATTTCAGGTACTTATATATCGCCATCAATTTACGCAGCGCTTTACATATATATTGTACATTCACATCAGTCCCTAACCCTCAAGGGGCGTACAATCTAAGGTCCTTAACCCTCAAGGGGTGTACAATCTAAGGTCCTTAACCCTCAAGGGGTGTACAATCTAAGGTCCCTAACTCACATTCATTCACACATTCAATTTAGACAGGAGCCAATTAACCTACCAGCATGTCTTTGGAGTGTGGAAGGAAACCGGAGTACCCGGAGGAAACCCACGCAGGCACATGGAGAACATGCAAACTCCAGGCAGGTGGTGCCAGGGTTGGGATTTGAACCGGCGACGCTAGTAAATAATTAACTATTTCAGACATTTTGAGAGGAATAGAGAGAGCAGAAGCAGAGAGAGCAGTATGTGTGGAGATGACCTGTCTTTTCTGATTGTATTCACTATGGATCCCATCATGAGCATAATGCGGCGCATTCTACCATTTTTTCCTGCACGCAAAACCTGGAACTGATTGCGCTGGTGTATCGGGTCCATTTGAATAAATGGAAAACGCTTTGCATGCATTTCTGATGATGAAAAAAAGCTCTGGACAGCATCTGGATATGAAAAGAAAAAAAATGCTTCTAAACGCAAACGCTTATAAACGCGGTTGGCCGCGTTTACAAGCATTTGGCATTTGAAACGCTGATAAAATCTACTCCTGAACGCA